CAATTAAGGATAATTAACAAGCTTTATTAGACAGTAAAATTTGTGGTGTTAATGGAAGTTTTGTTTTTGTCTCATTCTGTGCTTTTATGCCATCCTATCAAAAATGATTTTGCAACAACAATAACAATAACAAATCGTTAAATTCTTTATGATATCACTTTGAGCAAAACTAACAAATTGTTCCAAAAGTAACTGGAATGTTCTTTCATCAAACAATAGCTATAATGTCATCCTTCTCATTCTGTGGAAGCTTCGCATCATTTACAATTTGGAATGGAAAATGAAATTTCATTTACTATAGCTTATGAAATACAATGATTTCAAATGAATTGAAATTTTTGTCAAACGAGAAAGTGATGAGATTTTTTTTTTTATTCATAAAGAAATATGATTTAAATGGAAATTCTTTCCAATGATATTTCATGTTCGATTAATGCAAAATATTCGAGCAACGAACATAGCACACGTATACATCACATATATTAATGTCATGCCCTCTGAATTCTAATTTCATTGAGATAAATTTGAAAAAAAAATTTTAATTTACTAAATACACTTTACTAAGCTTACAATTCTTACACTAATCAAATATCATTATAGTTGGATTACATCGGGAATGAATGTTATTGATAGTTATGAGTATCAACAGATACTGGAAATGATTAGTGAATGATATAGATTATTCAATCATTCGAAGAGCATGATAGTTTTCAAGACAATCGTGTAGATATGTATCAATGTTATGCTAACAGATCTATATTATGATCTTCCGATGAGTTCAGATGATGGCATAAAATCTGATAAACGAAACCATAAAACCACCAATTATTACAACATTGTGGGAAGCTTGTTTTGTTTCGCAAATCGATAATTACTGAATTTTTTAGCATTTCAAATAAATTTCAAAATTCATCTAAAAATTGAAAGAAAAATAGATTTCATCCAATGTAATTTCCAACATTCCGTGCGTTCACAATGTCGTTTAGATTTAAAAAAAGAGAAAATTACCAATTAATATGAACATTTTCAAAAATTATAAAATATTATACAGGTGTACTGTGATATTCAGGATGTCCAGAAAATAATGATGGCTTAAAATTTGAGGTAGTAATCATGATTCTGCCAAGCGTACAATTCTTACACTTGCAACTACTCCCTTCACCATTAGGTAGCATTTCCTTCTCAACAGTCCATCTATCATCGATCATAGTGGATCCTTAAAATTTAAAATTGCACAAATCTAACTTTTGTCAATCAAAAAAATTGAAAGGAATAGAAATCAAGACAGTCCAAATTCCTTCATTGTCTTTCAAATTTGACAGATATTTTGAACTTTTCTTTGCAACAATCTTTACTCGAAATCAAAATATACAAAAATGTATTCTGAAGTCAATGAGAAGATAAAAAAAAAGAGAAACGAAAAAAACTGAAGTGAAATTAAAAGAAAAGGAGTTATAAATATTGACAATTTTTATTCCTGATTATTTATGACATTTCCATATGACCCATTTTATGTGACAAGCTAAAAATTTTAAACCAAAAGTTAACGGTTAAAGTTGAATTATATGAGAAGATCGATTCTCTCATTCGTTTTCCTTACGTTTTTTATAATAAATAATTATAACGATTACGGTAAGTGCTAATTTGTATTTTTCTATGAAAATTTAATTAGGTGGTTGATTCGATAATTTATCTGAATGTGATTATCCACAATACATAATTAGGATCTCAACAGTAAACAGAATTTTGAAAATAAACAACAATATCTTCCATAGATGTGCTTAAAATAAAGTAAATATTAATTGTTTTTAAATAAATAAATAATTAAGCAAGCAAATGAAAGCAATACATAGTAATAAGAAGATAATGATAAGGACGATAAAAGGCGAACAAGAAGCAATAAAACAATACAAAAAAAAAAACAAGGGAACAAAAAACGTGACGTTTAGATTTCTACATAACACTTTTTATGTATGTTTTTTTACTTCTATTTTTTACTTTTTAAAACTTTACGTACGTGTTCAAAAAAAAAAACTTACTTGGGAAAGAATTGACAGCATAATTTTCTGTAATTGTTGAAAGTGAAATTGGTCGATATTTTTTTCGACATCGTCTATGTTCATGATGTTTTTTATAGTTTTGTTTGCAACGTTCATTAGATGATATTTGCATATTGTGAATATATTTTGGATATAAAAATTTATTCTGAAATTAAAAAATTAGAACAGATTTGATTTATCACGTAAGCAGATTCACCTAATCTATAATGATTCAAATAATTATTCAGTTCTAAAGATCATTCTATCTGAAAAGCATTTGTCATACATGTCAATCATCGAACTATTAATAACTGATTCAGATGACAATTACAATTTCATTGAATTCTATGTAACATGAAAATTTCCATCTGTCAAGTGATTTAAACCAATTAAATGTGAACCTTCATGTAGTAGCAAAAAATTAGGCCTATGCAAAGAATAATTAACCTGGATATCATATTGTTCGAGAGATGTTATCGCCGATACTTGCTGTTCCTTCTCTGAAATAAATCCAATATGTTTGAAGTACAAAATCGATATTTAATTTATCTTCGGTATTCAATTGGGATTAAAATATGAATTCATTTTTCAATGTTTGCAATTAAATTATCGAGTAATTGAAAATTCTTCCCACGAATTCCTAATACATTTCAAGTTTTACCCTGAAGTTCCAAATTTTAGTTCCAAGTTTTTACCTTGTTTTGTCTTTACTCTGGCAAAAGTAAAAATTTTTTTAAAAATTTATAATTAAAACTTAATTCCAATCAAAATAACATCAATATAACGATAAACACAATAAAATAAACGGTTTGACCATTTAAATTTACGGGAAATTTTTAGTTTTAATTTGTTGAAAAAGTTTGATCCTTCTTTACCCTAGTCAAATACAAGCTATGGAAATTATTTGATTATAAAATGAAAGAAATGAAAAGGGCGCAAAATCAAACTGACCATTGCGCTGTTGTCGCAAGCAATATTGATGAGCATCATAAACAGGTTTAAAATATGCTAAATAAAGGAGCGCAAAAATTAGTAGAAAAACTCCCAAACATGCAAAAATTGTGCAAAATATTGCAATCGTTGTATAACATTCGTTTTTGACAATTGGTGGTGATTCGGAAAACATTACAAAATTCAAAATAGAATATTGGATCAGATGGATTACGTATTACTTGCAATTACTTTAGCAAGAATATAAATAAATCTGAGTCAAAGTTAAAAATATCTTTCTAATAGAATTAGCAATTCAGAAATTCAAGAAGGAATAATAAGCGCATTTCAGGTAAATGCTAACTGAGTACGCTTAGATAAACATAATTGGTTATTTTGGGCACGAGATTTTGGCGCAAATATTACTTGTCATTTAGCGCTGATTGATTTATTCGTGCTAATGATTGTATTATTTTATTTTTAACACGAATAATTTATGAGAAATCATCGATAAAATTATCGATAATTATTCCAGTCTGTATTTTTTACGTCTATCAATCGAATCGGTGACAGTATTTGAGTATTTCTCGAAAATATTTCATAAAACTTCAGATAGCTAATAATGATCGAAAGTAGGAAGACAGAATGAAATGATAAGAGAGAGGAAAACGATCAATTCTTGTTTGTTTGTAATTCTCAATCCGATCCAAATAGCACCTCAATGGATGAAGTAGCAATTTAATATTGAATTCAACAATAGATATTCAATCGTTGCTGTTGCCAGCTGTCACCATAACAACGCAAAGCTTTCTAATCGTCATTGTTAAGTTTATTATTATCATTCCAAGTTTGATAAGCACATAAATCAGTGATCTACTTAACATTTATGTATTTCAAGCATTCACACATTTTGTAGTCTTTTTTTATGTCAATTAAATAATTTTAATCAAATCTTTTACCATAAATAACTAAGCATTGCAAAATATTATCAAATATGAAAATAGTTTGTCGGTTGAAATTTGCAAAATTTTATTCGTAAAGGAAAAAAAAATACTAATTTACTTACAAATACATTAGTGACATTGCTAAGGTATTAGCATTAACAGGCAAAACACTTCAGATTTTTTGTAGTTCAAAAGTTAATTTCCATAAATTGAATGAAGCAGGTTTTTATCACTGATGAACTAACAAAAAATACCATATTCAGATAATTTTCCCCTTTTTTTGTATGTGGAATCCAATTTTTTTTTTTTTTTTCAAAACAAGATGACACTATGACACTTCATCAAAATGAAAAGTATCAATAGTTAGATTCAAAATAACAGTGTAAGATTATCGTTTCATAGAATTTTATGAAACAAACGTATTCTCGATTACTAATAAATGTTATGGAAAAAAAATGACATCTAAGCAATTAGTTATGTGATACTTAAAAAGGAAAAAAGATTAGAAGGGATGAAAAACAGCAAATAATTTGCATATCTAATTAATGTAATTTTAATACATCCAACAACAAGTCTGTTTGGGAAATAAATTATGTCTTTAAGTGAACATAACATATTCAACTTTAAGAAGCACCAATTAAATCTTTCTTTTAATTGTAATTTCCGGAGTAATTTCAGCTTTCTGCAAGCAAATTTTAACTGAAATTAGCTGGCGATTCCAACGAAACTTACATTTAGCAACATTTGGCAGAATTACAACATTTAAGTCTGATATTAGCTTTTTAATTTCGACTTCTTTCAATTGCAAACTAATTTATTGCTATGAATTTGAATTTCGAATCGTGCATTTTTTTCATCAAATTTAAACGAAAGGAAAAAAAATTTGTTTAGACAGAAGGAAAATGAGGAATTGATGAAGCCAACAATGTTCAACACCTTTTATTATCAAATTACGGTGAAATAATTGGACAAAAGACGAAGAGTTGTAATTCTTCGTTAATGGAATTTTCTTTTTTTTTCTCTCTAGAAATTTTAAAGTTCTCTGAAAATAAAAGGAATTTCCATCGTAACTATAATTGATTTCATATGAAATTTTATTTAATTAATCGGAATGTGATTGATATTTCTAATTTTGTGTAAAGTTTGTCTAATAAGCTATTCATTAATTAATAACTATTTTTTTGGGATGATAAATTGAAATGAAGTTATAAAGAAACATTTTGTATGAAATTGTCAAAAAATTTTTGAACACTGGATGAAGTAATTCTCATGAAGGGAAATAATTCGTATTTGGCATTCATTTAAAAATTTCATTTTTTGACATAAACCATATGATTCACAATCACTCTTACCACTTTAGTAATTAATTTTTATATTTTTTACAAATATTTATTGCCAGAAAAAGAATGTGTTGTGACATTTGCTTACGTGTTTGTTTAATTTCTTCATCGATGATTCACGTTATCAATATTTAGACAACTTTTGTCATAGCTAAATGTCATATTTAACCATTCATTTGAGCTATGAGCTACTGATAGTTAGAAATAATTGCCATATGTTTACATTTTTTTTCTTTTCTTTACAAAAAAAAAAATTAGCAAGCAGGAATGACATACGTGGTTATGACGTATGCGGAATGACGTACGTGTTTATTACACATGAACATAATCTATTATAAGCGTATTCAATTGATTTTAAAAACGAATGAGAGTCGAAATTTATACATTTAAGCCCCTTATTTGAAACATTGTTTTTAACTGATATTCTAATAATATTGTAAAAGGTGAAAGTTATTTGAAGATTGACAACATGAATGACATTTTCATTAGGAAAGGATCGAAGATGGACAATGATCTTCTTACCGTTGTGAAAATAATTTTAGTTTAACCTTTATTATAAGTAGAAATAACTGTAGAATGACAATTATTTTTACTATTAATTGCAACTTGCCACCATATGACCTTTGTCATGCATTGTCATCATGATGTTCACCTAATAACGTGTCATTTCTATTGATTATAGAAATAAAATGTGAAAATTTGTTTACAATCATTAATTCGAACTGATTGATAAATATAGAATGTGTTTGTATTGGAAGAATTCTTTGACCGATATTGTTTTAGACTATTTCATTGAAAAAAAAACGTGCCATTTTGGGTTTGACTAATATGATATGATTTTGATAAGATGGTAAAATGATTTGTAAGAGGCGATTCACTCTGAAATGAACAAAACAATATATTAATATCATTCATAACCGATGATTTTCTAGTCTGTCATAATTTCATCATCTTCCATCTAACTTTTGATGACAATTATCATGAATAAGAATTTGAATTCTTGTCAGTTAATTTTGTCACTTAATCTGTCACTGTTTAAGTTTAACCAACGAAAAGTAACCTTCAATAAATAAGTTTTTTCTTTTCTTTTCTTTTTTTTTAAATTTAACCAACAAGGAATGATTTCTTAAGAATTGTGAATTTCTTCAGAAATAGCATGTAGATATCTGAACGTATCATACATGAATTCTTTTATACATTAATTTTATCCATCATATCTATCATCACAGGTAATGATGATGATGATTGTGGGATGTTAGCGATAATGAATTAAGTAATGTTGAAAAAAGCAATTGATATATGTCAGTGAAATTTTTCAGCTAATTTTTCAACTGTCAATGAAATTTTTCAGCTCAAGAAAATGCTGTTACTACATTCTTTTTGATTAGTTGAAAACATTTAACTTGTAATTGTTTAAATTTGAATTTGAAATTTCAAGAAATATAAATTTCTTCCAAAATTGGACATTTAGACAATTTGATGGTATTGTAGTGTGAATGATCAATGGAGCAATTAACAATGGTGATAATATATGGAATAAGTGAACAGATTAAAATATATCATCAATAAACATAATATAAGAAATGATAAATAATTGTTAATGGTTGTTTAGATAAAATTGTTGTCAGTAAGCTGTTATCGATAAACTGATATCAGTTGAAGTTTCTCCTCAATTTTAATGTTCCATCATTTTTCCTATCGAACTTTGACTTTGCATTCTTTTTAGTTTAATATTTTATCATTTGGCAATTTTGAAATCAATGCAGACAACTAATTACTAACATTCGGCGCCATATTCATCGCCATCATTTGCCGTTCGAGACAGACAATCCGATGAATGATGCAGGAGAAATGGACAGATACAACGAATTGCTTTCGTTTGTTTAAGAATTAAAAGGTAACAACTCAGTCTGATCCTG